AATGGCTTTTTAACTCTTCATTGATTTTTTTTTTGGCTTGGCTGATTTTGTTCATACTTGACAGGCAGGTCGTACCATCACTAATTGGAAAAACAATCCTGACCCACCGCTACCATGGCAACAGCCAAAATCTGTTTTTTGAATACTTTCGCCAAATTTATTGCCTCCTACCAGTCTTGTAATAGCAGTGCCCAAATGATCATGCCTTTATTTTGGCTACGTTGCGCACTGTCAACGTAATCCCAACGCAGCTTTGAACTTTGAATAAAATGCAAATGCTGCCTCCAATCTAGAAAATACTATCAGGGGGAAAATCTCTCTCTCTCGGGGTTCTCCACACTTGCCAGGGGGGAAACTCGTCTCGTCTCTCTATCTCGTCCCTTTGAGGTACGGGATCGGGAAAGTCACTTTAACTTTACAGTCAAATAAGACACACACAACGAAATACGTTTCAACTCTCGTCTTAGTCGATCTTTTGGAGCACTCTATAAGACACAGCGCCCTGGAGAAAAGTCCCCAAGACTCACACAAGGCTGAACTAAGACTCGCCCAAGACTGGACTGCCTCAAGGCTCGCCCCTGGACTGGACTCTCGACTCTCCAGGACTGCACTCTCTCTTCTACTGCGTCTATCGTGCTGTGCTCCCCAAGACCAACTCAAACTCTCTTTATTCATCTTCACAACTCTAACCAATTACAAAGCAGTAAAAAGACTCTAGGGCGTAACCTTCAATCATAAAGCCAATCACACTAAGTACTGAATACGTCATATCTTTTGATTAATCGTTCACTACATTAATAACTATGGATGTAAACTGTCAGAATGAGTAGTCTAAAAAGCGGCGGTTATCTGGTAATTAGTTCCAAATCACTGAGCCAAGTTCCGTCCAAAACTTCAAATAGACCTAAACGATGACAGACATAACACAGCAATTCAGCTAATAATCAGCTAATTAAGGTAGCGGGACTATTATTTGCATACTTGTTTGCATCTTCTAATTGTGACTAAATGACTACAAATAGACCCGGGAAAGTATATATTTTTAGAATCGCCAGACTTCAAGCTTTTCACAAGTGTATTTTGCATGCCCATATCTGTAATCTACGACGCGTTACTCAATCAAAGGTGAAAAATTATATTTTCTGTAAAAAAAAAAA